TTTTTTTGTTTTTTTTTTGTGGGGTTGGGGGGGGGGGGGGGGGGGGGGGGGACGGACGCAAACTTGATTTAGAAGAACCTGCATGAGTGTCCGCTTCCAAAAGAAAAAAAAAAAAGAGCCATCGGAAATGGACAGTAAGGCCCACATTCCCCCCTCCCAAATCTTGATCAGGGACTCGCGGCGTCATTCATTATGCATTTTAACTTTCTTGTCTCCCCAAGTATGTTTTAATAGTTTGAGATTTTGTCTCTGTTGCAGTCTGGATCTGCAAAGTCACATGCATGTGAGTGTGGCTCAACAGAGACATCATCTTGCATAGTTTTTTATGAAGTCCTGAACTTTGTTCCTGAAATCCTCCTAAAACAGAAAGCATTAAGGAAACGTATGGGTTTGGATGAAACACAAACCTGCAAATGCACTGCACATAGGGCTCAATATATATTGAGCATTTATTATATAATACTATATTGCCAATATACATAATATCAGGATGATTATGTTTAGTTTTTTTTTTCTTTAACCAATACATTCCCAAAAAATGTTGTTTGTAAACATGTTTAGATGTGTGCTGGTGGTCTACCTTGTCCCGTAAATGATGTTCCGCTGCATCTATATTCAGTGGGTCATCAAAGTTAAGAAGATCCTGTGAAAGAAACAACACATATATTGGCCTTCCCACTGAAGGATGACAATTTTAACATAAAAAAAAAATTTGATTATCCAATTTTGTTTAATGTGTACTTACAGTGAATAGTGAATTCAGACCCCATACTACATCCTAGAGACAAAAAAATGGGTGGAATAATACAGATTAGCCATTACATTTAACTTGAGCGCCGCAGTTTTTTGAATGCAGTGTCATACACAAGACTCTGCAAAAGATGTGAGACATAAGCATAGTCCTCAAGACATTGGTCTAGCACATTTACATAGAAAAACAACGAAAAATCAGGGTAGTGGAATGCAAAAATAAGTTCTGTGTGAATGGCCCCTAACACACATACATAAACAAAAAAAATCATAACTTTTTTGTAATAAATAACCAATTTAAATTAAATATTTATACTTGTTATAATTTGCATTTTCTAAAGAAAATATAAAATATTAATGCTGGAAAAACATCAAAAATTAAAATGATGGTTTAAAAAGCTGTTAACCCAAATATTTAAAAAAGAAAGAAAGAAAGAGAGAGAGAGAGAGAGAGAAAAAGAGACAAAAAAGAAAGAAAGAAAGAATATAAGGCATTCAATACAGTTCTGCCTAGAAAACACTGTAATTAATTTTTCCAAGATGCATTACAAAAACACAAATTACCTTTAGAGTACGAGTGGGTGCCCATCCAGTACCATCAATTGAATGCTCTCGCAATAAACTTGGAGAAAGAAATAGGAGAGATTTTAACAATTATAATATCATTTAAAGAACACAAATACAGCTGTCAAAATAATCAAAACAATCTGGATTCTGATCCAATAAAACATGTGAATAAATGACAAACACAGATACATACCTCAGACAGATCTCTCCAGTTTCTGCAATGTTTGGATGCCATATTCGAGTCAAGCACTTGACTCTGGGAGGCTATGGAAAGCAGACAGGAAAGCGGTTGTCTTACAGCCCGTTTGGATTTGTGTGGGGTTTATAGCAGTAAAGTTAATGTCATTCTAAAATTGTATGATTTGAATCACTTCAATGGAACAAAAAAAAAAAAAAAGATATTTTGCAGATTGCCCTAGCTCTTGTACACGTAAAACAGAAATGAACAAGACTAAAAGCGCCATCGAATTACAACAGAAATAGTCTGTAAGATTAATTGTAGGTTTCATTTTAATCACTTCTAGTCACTTATTTAAACTATATATAATCACAGTATAAATGCTATGCTTAAAGCAGCACTATGTAACTTTTGGCGCTCTAGCAGTTAATAAACAGAACTGCACACATCCCGCGGAAGAACATTCCAACCTGAGCTACTTCTCTAAGTTTATGTCTATGGCGATTCACGCAGGTATGTGTTACTCCGCAGAGGTGACGACCCGACCAGGCTACAATAGTCCAAATACAAGTACTTATTATAAGTGTACCGTAGTGATTCGGAATAAGACAAAAACGCGATTTGGAAGATGAATTCATGATGTACTCGCTCATTATATACATTTTGCAAATTTTTAACACAAAAAAAAAAGTTACATAGTGCTGCTTTAATGCCTTTTGCCTCAGTAATATTTCATGATTTTGCTCTAAACATAGATACCAGGGTTGAGGGTCCATGTGTGGATCTCTGCACAGCCTTTACTGGGCTATTACAGGTGTTCTGAGGTCAAGGATGGGTTGTGTTATATATGTGTGCATTTGCGTGGGCACACTCAGGCAGCTGTTTTATTGAATGCAGACACTGCCGAGCATCAGTAATGCCCGCAAACATATTTTTAACAGCCCCGCTTACAAATGGACTAATAAAATCATCGTAGCACTGCGAGTGAATAAGTGTGGCATTACCTCATTACTTCATGATATGTCACAGGCACTTACCACCATATTATAGGCTTCGGGAACTTCAATCTCAAACTGAAACTTTCCACCAAGGTAATAGCCTTCATCTGATGAGGTGTTTTGCAGAAATGTAAGGTTATATTTCCACTCGCAAAATAGATAACATTTAATAGATACATACAATGAAAAAGAAGACGAGCAAAGGACTATTTACACAAGGAGCAATGTGAAAAAACAATATGATATGAAAATCGCAAATGATTTTTGTTTGTTCCCTTTGCTGGTTCAGGACACATAACCCAAAGGATAATAGAAAATATTAACAAAAGATAATATCGTATTGCTCATAAGGTTATGTGAATGTGAAGTGCATACAATGTTTTATTTTAAATACTTGTGATCTGTACGCATAGGCCTTATATTGGGTATGAATAGGTCAGGTAAACTCTTTTACACTGTTCAACAGCATCTGCATTTAATGGATGTTTACAATTGAATCTTTCAGAAAAGAGGCCAGAATTACCTGGTGAAATGGCCAACTGGAAGTGATAGAGTTTGTTTTCATCAGGAAACGTTACTTTACAGGTATCTGCAGAAATGTTTAGAATAATTAATGTTTAGAATAAGAGTTCATAAATCACGCACACAAAAATAGAAATTAACATCTGTATTACAGCAGGCACATCCAGACAGGTTTGTAGATGTATAAAAAAAGGAAATGAACATTCAACTCACGGCAACAGCTCGGGTGGACATTCCTGTAGTCAGCATGCCAACTGCACGCTCCCTCAAAACTTGCGACATCTGTGGCATTGTGCTGTGTGATAAAACTGCACATTTTAGAGTGGCCTTTTATTGTGGCCAGCCTAAGGCACACCTGTGCAATAATCATGCTGTCTAATCAGCATCTTGATATGCTACACCTGTGAGGTGGATGGATTATCTTGGCAACGGAGAAGTGCTCACTAACAGATTTAGACAGATTTGTGAACAATATTTGAGAGAAATAGGTCTTTTGTGTACATAGAAAAAGTCTTAGATCTTTGAGTTCAGCTCATGAAAAATGGTGGCAAAAACAATAGTGTTGCGTTTATAATTTTGTTCAGTATATATACTGTCTTTACTCATTTAGATTTTTACTGTCCTTTAATCAATAATAATTAATAAGTAGTATCAATATATTGTGCATTCTTAAAGAGCATAAGAAATGACCTGAATATACTCACTTGGAAGGTTAGCCTCAAGTTCTGAAACCTCTGTGAACAGATCAAAGCATGAGTGGGGTTTAGTACTGATGGGTAACAAAAGGGCCTTTCGCACCGCTTTAGTTCCAGAACTAAATGTACAGTACTAAAGTACTGGGTTGATTTTGCGCGAACTATTTCCCAGTACGATTTAAAAGGTTGCATTCGCACCAACAGTGTGTACTAAAAAGTGACGTAAGCCGGTCGACAGCTACGTCATTTGTGTGCGGCGTTCAACAACAGAAACAAAGAAGAACAACATTAACAACAGGAGGATGGAGGACGCTGTGATCTGAGCTGTTTTTGTTGTGTCTTGTGGGTTTCACAATAATGGACATGGAAAATCGACATATACGTAAAGCGATTGAAAGAACGTAAAGGAGGACTAAGAATTTCCAAGGACAACTGGCAGTGCTACATTTGCTACAAGTGCCTGCACTTCAGCGTCCATCCATCTATCACTGTTCTCCATACTCGCAAAATAAGTTGACACAATGTTTTACAGTATGTTTACACAGCGTTTTAAATCATGGCGGGTGAGGGTGTTTTTTTACACGTTTGGCCAATCAGTGTCTACTTACATCACGATTAGTACCAGTTGTGCTGGTTAGACCCTGCTCCGGAGTAGGAGCTAATTTGGTTCTCAAAAAAGGCAGTCCGGTACTAAAATCGCACCCAGTTCCGGCTGTGCGAAAACACCAAAAAGTGGGTAGTTCCACAATTAGTTCTGGTACTATGAAAAGGATACCACGGTGCGAAAGGCCCTAAAGACACTTATAGAAGCAGTTTTTTACTAAGCGGCACATGAACAGCTTTTTTTTAGAATGATATACTCATTTATTCTTCTCTGAATTTGTTATTATTGCAATTATGGTCTATGGAACACAGATACAAGACACAGCTCTATCTAGCTATATATGGCAACCTGCATTCTCATGACACCATCTCTAAATGTTGAGTTGGGCCGGATCCAATGGCCTCACTGATTCAGAAAATACCCTGAGTGTTTGACTGTGGATGGGAAGTGCTTTTTAAGCTGCTGGTAATGGCATACAGACTCCTCCTCTCGGTCTGTTATAAATAGTCTACTGCTCTCCTGATCTGGCCTGCATCACATCACCTTACACCAGTTTACTGGCACCACAACTCCCTGCAGACAGTCACCGCACAACACAACTCCACTCATCACGCTCCCCAGATTCAGACCGGCCCTACGCTTTCACAAGAGTTTGGCAGTGTAATTAATGATCCAGTTACAATGTATTGAATCATGATAGATAGATAGAATGATAGATAGAACAATAGATAGATAGATATAATGTCAGAACAATAGATGGACAGAACGACAGAACAACAGATAGATAAATAGAATAATAGAACGAACGATAGAACAAACAACAGAATGATAGATAGATAGATAGATAGATAGATAGATAGATAGATAGATAGATAGATAGATAGATAGATAGATAGATAGATAGATAGATAGATAGATAGATAGATAGATAGATAGATAGATAGATAGATAGATAGATAGATCAAATGATACATAGATAGACACACGGAACAAATGATACATAGATAGACAGACAGATGACAGAACAATAGATAGAATGACAGACAGACAGACAGACAGATAGATAGACAGAACAAATGATACATAGATAAACAGACAGACAGATGACAGAACAATAGACAGACAGATAGACAGATAGACAGATAGAGATAGAGATAGATAGATAGATAGATAGATAGATAGATAGATAGATAGATAGATAGATAGATAGATAGATAGATAGATAGATAGATAGATAGATAGATAGATAGATAGATCAAATGATACATAGATAGACACACGGAACAAATGATACATAGATAGACAGACAGATGACAGAACAATAGATAGAATGACAGACAGACAGACAGAACAAATGATACATAGATAAACAGACAGACAGATGACAGAACAATAGACAGACAGATAGACAGATAGAGATAGATAGATAGATAGATAGATAGATAGATAGATAGATAGATAGATAGATAGATAGATAGATAGATAGATGGATAGACAA